GAACCTCTATATATAGAAGACCTGTAGGAGCCCCTTTAATAGACGTTATGTCTACAGTAGACCTCGATACGACCTCCTATTATCAAAAAACTTTTCAAGGACCTCTGTACATAGAGGACCTTTAGGGGACCTTTTTTCCATAGTAGACCTATAGAAGGGCCTTATCCATAGAATACCTTTTGGAGGACCTCTATATATAGAAGACCTGTAGGAGCCCGTTTAATAGACGTTATGTCTACAGTAGACCTCGATACGACCTCCTATTATCAAAAAACTTTTCAAGGATCTCTGTGCATAGAGGACCTTTAGGGGACCTTTTTTCCATAGTAGACCTATAGAAGGGCCTTATCCATAGAATACCTTTTGGAGGACCTCTATATATAGAAGACCTGTAGGAGCCCCTTTAATAGACGTTATGTCTACAGTAGACCTCAATACGTCCTTCTATTATCAAAAAACCTTTCAATGACCTCTGTACATAGAGGACCTTTAGGGGACCTGTTTTTCATGAAAGACCTATAGAAGGTCCTCTATCATTTAATACCTTTATGAGGTGTTCTATCCATCAAGCCTAATTTAACAGACCTTGTATCCATAGGAGACCTTAGTCAGATCTTCTATCATTGGAAAACCTTAGAGAGGTATTTTTTCATAGAAGACCTTCTTTAAGCCTCCTATCTTCTCCTTAAAAAGCCTTCTCATAAAAGACCTTTACAAGTCGTCCATCTATGGAAGAAATTTAAAAGTCATGCATCCTTAGGCCTTAAGCTTTTGGGAGGGCCTCCCTTCACAAAAGAATTTCAGAAGGTATTTTATCCATTGAAGTCTCCTAGGAGGTCCTTCACCTATAAAAGAACTTCCTAAGGTGCTTCTAACCGTAGGTCTGTGAAAGATCCCAATTTTCCGTACCCTATGATCTCCGACTTGTTTTTGTTGTCGTATCTACTCTAACTCTGCACACCAGTTCTCTCCGCCCAGCACCGTTATAAAAGGTTGGTGCCAATGAACGTCTTGAAATTCTTGCCTAGTTTTCTATAAACAACATCAAAACAACAACAACAGTGGCAGCAGCGAAAGCAACAGCAGCAGCAGTAACTAAGACAACAACGACGACAACAACAATGTTGGCGAAAAGAAAAACCCCACTTCTGAATGAAGAAACAAGGAACTACAAAACGAACACCAACTACACTCTGTCGTTCAACGAACGACTATGATTTTTTAAGTTCAATGACTCGTTACAACAACAACGTCATGGGCAACAAAAACTAATAACAACAAAAACACTATGACTGCAACTCAATGCGTTATTTGTGCACACACACACATGCATGGCGATAGCAGCAGAAAATGCATCATTCCTCTAAGGAGAAACCAATTGTTAGACGGAAAAGTTGCAACGAGTGAGCGAGAGCTGCAGGAGAGGAGCATCGGAGCGGAGAGTGAAAGGAGACGTTGAAGAAAATTTATTGCAAAAATTTACTTGACATAGACATCATAGTGTTGATGATAGTGAAATGTGTTGTAAACAATTATTGCAAATCAACAACAACAACTCACTAAGAACGATAACAACAAGCTAGCTAGTCAGTCAGCCAGCAGCTATAATAATAAAATAGAAGAAGAAGATTCCCAATAAACAATGAAATGCAGAGAAAAAAAATCATAGATAATTCTTCTAATACTGCTCTCGTCCGACTGACTGTGGCACTGACATCCACAGATGATGTGACTGGCATACATGTGGGAGTAATTTGCCTGCAGTGTTTGCAGGGGGAGTGGGAAGGGGGAGTATAATTTACTTACAACAAACTCGTAAATTTGTAAGAAAAAAATTTATTGGTTTTTCGTTTCTTGTTAAAAACTAAAAAAAAACAGCAATTCCAGAATTTAATGATCAATGAACGTGTGTGCATAATGGCCGAAATGGACAATTCTTGGAAGGTGTAGCTATTAGGACAGGGAATATTAACGAGTTGGAAGCTAGGGAGTTTAACAACTCCTATGAACTTTCTAAGTACTTCTGTAGATACAAAAGCTTCTGAAACTCCTCCATAGATAGAAGAGCTTCTAAAGCTTTTCTATAGATCGAATACCTTCTAAGGCTCTTCTATGGGTAACATACCTCATTTATAGATAGAAGAGCTTCTAAAGCTTTTGTATAATTAGAGGAGCTTCCAAAGCTCTTCTATAACTTCAACTTTTAAAGTTCTTCTATAATTGGAAGAGCTTCCAAAGCTCTTCTATAATTAGAAAAGTTTTTGAAGTTTCTCCATATTTAGATAAGCTTTCAAAGCACTTCTATAATTAGATGAGCTTTTGAAGCTATTCTATAATTAGAAGAACTTTTGAAGCTCTTCTATAAATAGAAGAGATTCGGAAGCTTCTAAAGCTCTTCTACTGACCGAAGAGATTTTTAAGCTCTTCTACTCACCGAAGAGATTTTGAAGCTCTTCTATTGACAGAAGAGCTTATAGAGCTCTTTTATTGGCAGAGTACCTTCTAAAGCTCTTCTATTGACGGGAGAGCTCCTAAAGCTTTTCTATTAACAGAAGAGCTCATAAAGCTCTTATATTGACAGATGAGCTCATAAAGCTCTTATATTAACAGATGAGCTTATAAAGCTCTTCTATACATAGAAGAGCCTCTAAAGCTCTTCTATGGATAGAAGAGCCTCTAAAGCTCTTCTATGGATAGAAGAGCCTCTAAAGCTCTTCTATGGATAGAAGAGCCTCTAAAGCTCTCCTATAGATAGAAGAGCCTCTAAAGCTCTTCTATGGATAGAAAAGCCTCTAAAGCTCTCCTATAGATAGAAGAGCCTCTGAAGCTCATCGACGGATAGAAAAACCTCTAAAGCTCTTCAATAAACAGAAGAGCTTATAAAGATCTCCTATAGACAGAATACTTTCTAAAGCTCTTCTGTAGACATAAAGCTCTTCTACAGACAGAACAGTTTCGAAAGCTCTTCTATAGACAGGAGACTGTAGCTACTGTAGCTCTTCCATGGCTGTAAGACCCGATTAACCTCTTCTCTGACCAGACCTTCTGAAGATTATATGGCTAGAAGACCTTTTGAAGCTCTTCTATGGCTGGAAGACCTTCTGAAGCTCTTCTATGGCGAGAGAACTTTCTGTAGCCCTCCAATGGCTGTAATACCCGATAAACATCTTCAACGATTAGAAGGCATTCGGAAACTCTTCTATGGCTAGAAGTCTCTCTGAAGCTCTTTTATGACCATAGAACCTTCTGAAGCATTTTTATGGCAGGAAGACCTTCTGAAGCTCTACTACGGCTAGAAGATTTTCTAAAGCAATTCTATGACTTAAAGATCTTCTCGAGCTCTTCCATGACTAGAAGACCTTCGGAAGCTCTTCTATGACCGGAAGACCTTCGGAAGCTCTTCTATGACTGGAAGACCTTCTGAAGGTCTTCTGTGGCTAAAAGACCTTCGGAATTTCTTCTGTGGCCAGAAGACCTTCGGAATTTCTTCTATGGCCAGCAGACTTTCTGAAGCTCTGCTATGACCTGCAGACCTTCTGAAGCCGATCTATGGCCAGAAGACCTTCTTCAGCTCTTCTGTGGCTAGAAGACCTTCTGAAGCTCTTCTATGAACAAAAGACCTTCTGAAGCTCTTCTATGAACAGAAGACCTTCTGAAGCTCTTCTTGAACAGAAGACCTTCGGAATCTCTTCTATGGCCAGCAGACTTTCTGAAGCTCTTCTATGGCCAGATGACCTTCTAAAGCTCTTCAAAGTCTACAGTGTGTCCTCTGTCTCGTCTAGCCTTTAACTCGTCTGTATTGGACTCTCTGGCCTCCTCACTTCTTTAAAACTCTCTTTGGCATCCAGCTCGTGTATGACCTGCTACGTCTATGAGAGACTTTCTGGCCTCCATCTCGTATAAGCCCCTGGACTTCAGCTCGCCTGTAAGTGCTTCTTTGGCATCCAACCCTATATAATAGTCTACCTGTCTTTCGACTATGGCTCTAGAGCATATATAATGGACAATCTGGTCTATACTAGACTCCCTGATATCCAGCTCGTATATAATTGACCCTCTGGCTATAGAGCGTATATACTAGACCCTCTGACCTCCAGGCAGTCTTTATTTGATTTTTTGGTCGCCATCTCATCTATACTAGACTCTCTGGCCTCTATTTCTTCCAAAATTGAATCTCTGGATTTAGAGCCCATCTAATGGCCTTTTTAGCCTCCAGCTCTTGTCTATATATAATTTTTCTCTTTCAATTCCTCTCCCATTCGGCTCTCTTCAAGATAATTCCATAATTTAATTAGAAAACCTCAATTGATTGAAAATACACCCCCCCCCCCCCCCATTAAGCTTCCCCTATCTTTATGCCACAACAAATCTCACATTCACATTGGATAGATAGTTAAAGCTGTCAGAGGAAAAACATTTCCAGTGCTGGTGGTGATGATCAATTGTCTTGGCACCCATTCAATTGTAATGCGCCCAACAAAGTGCAACAATGTTGCAAATGCTGCTGCTGCAGCTGCTGGTGTTTTCAATTCTCAGTTCAAATGCTGGTATCTGCTGTTGGATGGGCAGAAAGAGATGTGGCACAACAAAGGAATTCTTTTGATCCCTTCCTTAGAAATGCCATCTATTCCTACTCCTCTACAATTGCAGGCAATTTTAAATGAAGGCTGAACAGCAGAAGGTCTAACTCACACAAGGAAAAGAGTGTGTTTGTGTTTTGTGTGTGAAATCCAACACCAACCAGATACGAAACAAAAACACTCATCACAACAACCATGGAAGAGTAACAACTTATGGATGACTGACTGAATGGATAGTTGGATGGATGGATGACCATTTCCTGGGTCATGGATTTTCGAGAAGTGGAGAGCAACAAAAAAAAAACGAATGCAATCCCAAATGTAATTTATAATCATTCCCAAGGGGTGAAGGAAATGCCATTTCAGAAGCTATGGAGAGAGAAAAAAACAAGGAAAGAGAAAGAGAGTGCCAGTACTTACCTGTTAGTATTACTGATGTTGCTGCTACTGCGGCTGTTGTATCACTGGATGATGCTGGCGATGCTGTTGTCGAGCTTATTGATGTCTGACCATGTGGACTTTGTGATTGCTCCGGCAAACTGATGGGAGTGGGTGGTGTTAACGATGGTGATGATATCTGAGATGATGACGATGACGACGACAGCGAAGATGATAATGACGATGATGATGATGCTGCAGCTGTAACTGCCGATGCCGATGCGGATGCTATTGATGACGATGAAGATGATGATGCCAATGACAATGATGATGATATTCTGTTCGTTTGAGCGGCGGCAGCTGCACTTGATGCTGCTGCAGCTGCGTTTGTTGTTGGTATTGTTGTTGTTGCCACAGATGCCAGAGATGTTGTAGAGCGTATAACTGTCTCCAAATTCGAGGACTGCCCTAGTGCCGTGGATAATTCGCACAATCCTTTGTCTATTTCATGAACAATATCAAAATTGGGATATGAATAGATTGCCACAGTTTCACTGTTGTCACAATTGGCGAGGTTGGTGTTGTTGTTGCTGTTGTCACTGAAAATAAATTGGGATTTTATTAGAAACTAGCTGAACCCGGTGCGCTTCGCTACCCCTTTTGATTTTATATGCATTCAAAATTTTATTTACGAATATATGTTGGATAAAGAAAATCAAATTTAAAAATTAAAAAAAAAAAATATATTGCACTAATTTAATGCGTTAATAAACAAAATCATTACAAAAGCAGTAACATGACATGCATACACGAAGGGTTCGTCCTTTGGATTTATTTATTTCATAGCAAATACCAAGCGTGCAGGAAACTGCTATTTTTTTAAGTAGAGTGGTTTTTCTATCGCAATTAGTGAATTCGAGATAGCAACATACTTCGCCGTAATAAGCGTATTTCAAATAAATTGTTGTGTTGTTTTTTAGTGTTAGCCTAAGGCGTTGTGGGTCAATGGTTCTTATTAAAATAATATCCCAATCTGGTCCGATTTAAATATAATTTAAAAAAAATTACTTTTACACCAAACTCCGCCACACCTTTCATATTTCATTGAAATTGGTGCGTCAAATATGTGAAATCGGCCGAGAATATATATATATATATATATATATATATGGGAGCTATATCCAAATCTTAACTAATTTCCAATTAATTTATCACATTTATTATTATAACCAAATTCCGCCACACATTCTGAATTTCATTGGAATCGGTCATATATATCGTGTTTGGTGCATAATATGTATGAAATCGGCCGAAATATATATGTTAGCTATATCCAAACCTCAACTGATTTCAATATAATTTGGCAATTTTTGCTGGTGCCAGATTTTGTCTCTCTCGCTTTGGGTGCATCAAATATGTGAAATCGGCTGAGTATATATTTGGGAGCTATAATCACATCTGAGCGTATTTGAATATAATTTGTCAAATTTATTTTTGTACCAAATTTAGCCACTCATAATCAAAATCCCGTTACATATTCCAAATTTCTTTGGAATCGAACATACATATCGTGTATGGTGCATAAAATACATGAAATCGGTCGAAAATATATATGAGAGCTATATCCAAATCTGAACCGATTTTAATATAATTTGACAAATGTATATTTGTTTTAATTTCCGCTACACATTCCAAATTTCATTGAAATTAGAGATACATAGCGTGTTTGGTGCATCAAATACATGAAATCCGTCGAAAATATATATGGGAGCTATATCCAAATCTGAACCGATTTCAATTTAATTTGACAAATTCATTTTGGCTCCCAATTCCGTTACTTATTTTAAATTTCATGACAATTGGAAATACATGTCGTGTTTGGTCCACCAAATACATGAAATCGGCCGAAAATGTATATGGGAGCTGTATCCAAATCTGAACCGATTTCAATATAATTTGGGAAATCAATTTTTTAGATAAAATCTATCACACGTTTCAAATTTCATTGAAATTGGGGATACATAGCGTGTTTGGTGCATCAAATGCTTCAAATCGGCCGAAAATATATATGGGAGCTATATCCAAATCTGAACCGATTTCAATATAATTTGACAAATTTATTTTCGGATTAAATCCCGTCACACATTCCAAATTTCATTGGAATCGAACATTCATATTGTGTTTGAGGCATCAAATGAACGAAATCGGTCGAAAATATATATGGGAGCTATATCCAAATCTGAACCGATTACAATAAATTTTGGCAAACTTATTTTTGTTCCAAATTCCGTTACGTATTCCAAATTTGGAGACTGTATCTTCAACCAATCAATAGATATGTGCATATAAAATCTAAATTTTTGGGAGGTACCTCCGATTCTGATGCTATATCTCCAGTTCCAAGTGGAAATTCAAAAATGTATGTAGCCTATGTTACTTTCAGGCGATGTTGCAGTATATATGGAAATTTTCAGGAAAATCTATTCAGCGGTTTTCGAGTCCATAAATTACAAATAAACAAACAAACAAACAAACAAACAAACATACAAACATTTTCCTCTTTTATAGATATAGAAGATAGAAGATAACAAAAGAAGAGATCTATTGGTTTTTAATAGAATTAAGGAATATTAAACCGAAATATCAAGCCTTTAATATTTTGGAGAATGCAAATGAAACCAAATTAAGGTCGCCTTTCTAATCGCCTTGGAACCCCTGCTCTGGTCGCCATAAAATCGACAATCTGTTTCTGGATGTCCTTGAAAACTCTCTTATTTTTCGCATTTTAAGAGTGCTACGTTCCGCTTGGGTTCCGGGTAGGTACATGTTATTTTCCCAAGACCAGATGCATAAAATGAGACTACGAGTCTTTCAGAATGGAGGAGGAATGCCTTATTCAATAATTAACACACGTCTTCACAAAGTTCTCCCGCTCAACGTTTATAAGTCACGACCTGTGTGGCTCTTGCAAGAGACCACCTTTTGTCTCCCTGCCCTCACCTTTAAATACTCATACCTGGCTGGATTTTTTGCCTCACATTTGGTAACCTCACAGGTGGACAATTTTAAAAACCTCATTTAGGTAACTTTTAAAGGCTCCTTTTGGTTGTCTTCAAAGGCTCTTCTCTGGAAGGCTTTAATAATTAGATAATATCTTAAAAAGTCTTCAAGTAACCTTTAAATATTCTATTCAATTCGCCTCTATATATTCCCTTTTGGCTGCCTGTAAGAACTCACTTCTGATCATTTTGAAAGACTCTCTTCTCTTCTGGTCGGATTTAAAATTCACATCTGATCAAGGTTCCATTTCATTCCCATCCTTCAAATAATCCCTCGTTTGTTACCTTTAACAGACCATGTTCACCTTCACCTTTCACTCAGCCCTTTCCCTCAGCTATATGGCTAGAGAGGGTATATATAGTTTGATACGGCCTCATCGCCTCATCGAAGTAACGGTTTTAGACCTTAGGTCTCTTTGGACCAAATCCTTTTCAGAAAATTTGGAGTCGATCTTCTTTCGATGTCCTTCCGTCTGTCCGTCTGTCTGCCCAGCTGGATGGTGCGCACAATAACTCTCGAAGGAAGAATCCGATAGGATCCATACTTGGTACATTGTAATATTATTATCAAACTTAGATAGAGTTCGGAGATAGGCAATATCGGTCCACTCCTTCGGGCATCTCCCCCACAAAAGGTGGAAATTTTCCAGAAATATATTTTCTGCAAAGAAAGAGAAACGGTAATCCGATTTTGCTTCAACTTTGCAAATCATAACATTTGCATCAGTGCTGGATTAGGTGAGAAAATTGACAATATCGGTCCACTTCACCAAGCACCACCCCAACAAAGGGTCAGAATTTTTAATAATTATAACACTTATAAAATATTATATTGTCTTCAAATTACACACATCACAATATTTTTATTAGACCAAGGTCTGGTGCTACGATGGAATATATCCGTCCACTTCTTCTGGTGCCTGCACTACAAATGATCAACATTTTGAATACCCATGAAGCTCATAAAACGCGAAATTAACATCCGACTCCATTCAAACTTCTTATATCCCGATATTTCCATCAACACAAGATCTATTATAAGGATGGTAGGGATCGGACCATTCCTTATTGTACCTCCCCCACAAAGGGTCAACGTTTTGAAAAACCAAAACGATTATAAAATCCGAAATAAGAAGCCGGTTCTCTTAATATTTCACACATGTCTACTAAGACAAGGTCAGCTGAGAAGATTGGATATATCGATCCACTTCTTCTGGTATCTCCCTCACAAAGGTTCAACATTTTGAATATCAATGGCTATCATAAAACGCGAAATGGACATCCGATTCTATTCAGACTTGGTACATCTCAATATTTCCATCAACACAAGATATGTTATAAAGATGTTAGAAATCGGGCCATTTCTTCTGGTACTGGTAATAAGCATCCCACCCTCTTCAAATTTCACACATACAAACATTTTTGGTAACACAAGATCTCTTGTGAAGATGATATATATCTGCGAACCCCTCCTGGTACCTCACCCACAAAGGGTCTGGTAATCTTCGAAAACTCATTTGTAATTAAGACGCAAGATATTGAGGCATAACAAAATGGGTCCAGCTTTAAAAGAATTTTTGAAATGGCTGGAAACCCTTTTTCAATGGCAGGAAGGCCCGCTGAAACTCTTCTATGGCTGGAGGACCTTTTAAAGTTCTTCTATGGTTAGAATACCTTCCAATGCCGCTCTGAAGACTTTTATACTCATCATAATATACTCTCATAATTGTAAGGCTCTCTGGTTCCAGCTGATTTATAATACATTTTTAGGCCTATGATAGCTTATCTGAACTCCAGCTCAGTCTTTAATAGACTTACTGGCCTCCACAGATCTATAAGAGTCTCATTGGCCTTCGGCTCGTCTATGAGAGATTCTGTGGCCCCCGACTCGTCTGGACCCTATATGGCCTTTAAGTGAGTCTCCAACTCCCCTATAATAGTTTGCCTGTCCTGCAGCTCATCTATGATAGACTCTTTGGTACCCAGCTCTGGACTATCTGGACTCCAACTCGTCTATTTTACACTCCCTGATCTCTGGCTCGTCTATAACTGACCCTCTGGCTCTAGAGCAAATATAATGGACTCTCAGGCCTCGGTCTCGGGTGTACAAAACTCTTGGGCTGCGAGCTCGTCCATACTAGTCTATCTGGCCTCCGTTTCGTCCTAAATTGACCATCTGGTTCTAGAGCGTATATAATGGACTTTTTTATTCATATATTCATCAAAAGTACCGAATATAGGGAGGATCCGTTATGTGGGGTCTATACGAAGACGGGAACCTACATAAGATATTTTCTGTCATAGGATGTAGTATCTATTAAGAACTTCGAATTCCAAATTTGAAGCATTTACGAATAAAAGCGTGACACAAATTATCAAAATACCGAATATCTTGTGGTATTGTTATGTTGGGACTACACCAAACTTCCAGTTCTACTCAAGGACGCTTTTTACTTAATGGGAACTCTACACCAATTTTATGAGAAATCATAAATTCTATATTCATCTCAGGTCTCTGGAGGAGAGATCGATGCCTTGTTTTGCAAGTTATAACAGATGGATGAGGTACCAGAAGGGGTTGACAGATATACATCATTTTCACAACAGATCTTGTGTTAGCAAAAATGTTTGGATGTGTGACGTTTGAAGTGAGTTGGATGCTTATTTCGCTTTCTTTGAGCATTGCGTTTTTCAAAATATTAAACCCTATATGAAGGACCAGAAGAAATTGTTCGATCTCTACAATTTTTATAACAGATCTTGTGCTGCTAGAAATAATGAGATGTGCCAAATCTGAATAGAATTGGATGTTAATTTTGCGTTTTGTGAGTTTTTCGGATATTGAAAATGTTGACACTTTGTGGGAGAAGTACCAGAAATAGTGGACCGATCTCTACTATCTTCACACCAATAAAAATATCGTTATGTATGTAATTTGAAGACAATCAAAATTATTCAAAAATTTTGACGCTTCGGAGTGGGTTTCTTTAGGGAGTGGAGCAATATTGTCCATTTAAGCACCTGATGTAGCACTGATGGAAATATTAGGATTTGCAAAGTAGGGGCAAAATTGGATAATCCTTTCTCTTTTTTTTTTTTTTTTGAAAATTTCGACCTTTTGTGGGGGAGGTACCAGAAGAAGTGGACCGATATTCCCCATCACCGAACTCGATCTAAGTTTGATTATAATATTACGATGCGCCAAGTTTGGACCAAATCGGATACTCCCTTCGAGAGTTATCGTGCACACCAGCCAGCCAGACAAACAGACAGACGGACGTATATCGCTAGGTCGACTCCAAATGCCCTGAAACGAATGTGGTCCAATAATCGTTATTTCGATGAGGCGCATTTTAGCTGAATCAAATGATATATACCCTCTCTACCATGAGGCTGAGGGCATATCCAAATGAAGGTATATACTAAAAAGTTGTCTCATCTGTTTTCTTTGAAAAAAAGTACTTCAATAGATGTCGTTCATGCTGCGAGAGAGCTTAAGTCTCACTGAAATTCACTGTACTCCTCAATCTACAAATGGGTTCACTCAGCGCATCCTTGCGTTTCACCGAAGTAGTAGTTATAAGAGTCTATCTTGGCCTGCCAAATCAATGGCAAATAAAAATTGAAAAAGAATGTATGTCTTCGTTCATACTTTTTTCATTCGAGGCTGCTCATAGCTGATCCAGAGCAATCATACCATGCAATGTCTCTCAGATAAAAAAAGGTCAAAGAAATACAAACCTTTCATTCTGCTATGTCGTGGGTAATACTTTGATGGCCATATTAGGGGAAATGTTTAGGGTTCGACGAAAAAAATTTATTTGCCATGATTCCAGTTTTAGTATCTCCGTTTAATGAATTCGAGTGTGTTTCACTCTTTGTTCTAATTCGAGCGATTCTTCGGAAGTCTGCTTCCTACATCCGTTGCTAACAGAACAGCTCGGGGCGGGTGCTATTGCAAACCCGGTTTTGACCAAATGAATATTATCCAAGTTGTTTTTAAATGGAAAAAGGTAGAAAAAATGATGTTCGTAGCCCTTAAATGTCCTGGGAAGTTTTTTGTAGAGGATTCAAGGGATTTGTCAGAGTTTTTAACGTTTTGGCTATCTTAATTCCAGCAACTCCGAAATGGACTAAAATGTTCACAGCCTTTGGATTATGATCGGAAGAGAAGATCATGAGTGGATATATCAGCATCATATCACCGATACGAATCAACAAAACCATGGCACGGAGTTGGTCGCCATCCTGGCTTGTACTACAAAGAATCCGGTTCTAAATTTCATCATATCCGGAATGCACTGACTTCCTCATCGACGTAATGATCCTTTTGCTGTACTCCCCGAAACGTAGTAAAACTGAGACCTGAGATTCGTCACTTCCTCGCCCCGAAACCAAAAGAATCTCAACCAAGTATATCAAGGAATATTATCCTTAAATTTGAAAAAATTAAATCTTTCTCCGCATTGCTGCGATTTGCCCTTCAATGTCCGAGAAAGTACATTTTATGAGAGATAAGAGATATATAAGAGATTCCTAAGACTTATAATTGATTCCGTTGTTGTGGTATTTGATTGTCCTTTGACTAGCATGTACTTTACTAACTCAGGCCCGGGATTTGATGTTTTCTGGCAGTCCAAAGAACTCACCCCGGAGTTTTTCCCTTGATAGCCATGATGGTAGGAGGCATTTTAAATATTTTCAATTTTACTCTAAAACAAGTAAAAAAAACATTAAGTTTGGCCGGGCCAAACTTTTAATACCCTCTACCTTAGGGTAAAAGAAACATTAGAAGAAATGTGGCAAAAACCATTAAAATGCCGAATATCGGGAGGTACCGTTATATGGGGGCTACGCCAAAACGTGGACCTATAATTACAATGTTTCTCCACACGAACTAGGACCCATTATGACCCACAAATACCAATTTTTAGACAAGTTCGTGAAAAAATGTGGCAAAAACCATCAAAATACCGAATATCGGGAGGTACCGTTATATGGGGGCTATACCAAATCATGGACCCATACTTGCAATGTTTCGCCACCGGAGCTGGAACCCATTATGACCAACAAATACCAATTTCCAGACAAATCCGTGAAAAAATGTGGCAAAAATCATCAAATTACCGAATATCGGGAGGTACCGTTATATGGGGGCTATACCAAATCATGGACCCATACATGCAATGTTTCGCCACCGGAGCTGGAAACCATTATGACCCACAAATACCAATTTTTAGACAAATCCGTGAAAAAATGTGGCAAAAAAAGTAAAATACCGAATATCGGGAGGTACCGTTATATGGGGGCTATACCAAATCATGAACCCATACATGCAATGTTTCGCCACCGGAGCTGGATCCTATTATGACCAACAAATACCAATTTTCAGACAAATCCGTGAAAAAATGCGGCAAATATAATCAAATTACCGAATATAGGGAGGTACCATTATATGGGAGCTATACCAAATCATGGATCCATACATGCAATGTTTCGCCACCGGAGCTGGAATTACGACCCACAAATACTAATTTTTAGACAAATCCGTGAAAAATAAAATACCGAATATCAGGAGGTACCTTTATATGGGGACTATACCAGAACGTGCACCGATATATCTCATTTTCAATACCAACCATCCTAGACACAATGCAAAATGCTCTGCTAAATTTTGGCACTCTACGTCAAATAATGTGGGCTGTATCGTGATTTCAACAGACGGACGGACAGACAGACAGACGGACATCGTTCAATCGACTTAGAATTTTATGCTGATTATGAATATATATACTTTATGGGGTCTAAGACGAATATTTAAGGATGTTACAAACGGAATGACAAAGTTAATATACCCTCCTTTCCAAGGTGGAGGGTATAACAACGACATATGATTATCTAGAAATGCAGATCATATCAAACCGGCTAGCATCACTTTAACTGGTTAATAGAGGTCCCAATATTTGCAATACAATTGATATAAAATTTATGTATGTGGGTATATTGATGAAAAATTCTCAACTTACCCGATTAAAAAATTATTTTCAGAAATTTCATCAATTAACGGAGTTCCCGGATACTCCATGGATTGATGCCAACCCTCAGTGGGGCGGGTCTTGAGACCATTCGATGATTAATATGCATTTAAGCTGATGTCGATGCTACGATAATTTTCAATTAAATGAAAACCAGACGCTGAATAGCAGCAGCAGCGGTAGATAAATCTGTTAATGCGTTTGACGAATGCCTAAATGGGGACACGGCACGAAGTTGGTAGGTATTTGCACGTTTTCTTTTGTTAATGCAATGCGAGGAGATAATGTATAATTTTTCAATTTTCTTAAATAATGACAATATTTAAATTTGTATTTTTTTTACTCTTATTTTCAAAATTTATTTTAGATTCATTAAATTTCCAACCGGTTTAAAAAGAAATATCCTTCTTATTTCCACTTTGTATCTCACTGTCACTGTATGCGTGCCCGAAAAACTTTAATATGACCGCATTTATCATATAAATTTTTTTACTGGAAAAAACAAATCCGCTATTGCACTTTAATGTGGTGGCGAAGAAAGCTTTCGGTTCTTCCTTTCGTTTGCTTTGGCCTGTCAAATGCACCACTTTGTTTTATTTTATTTTCCCATTGGGATTTCCCTACTTCTCACTCACTCTCTGCCTCACACTCTTTTGTTTTTGTTATGTTCTCTCGGTTGTCGGTTCTCTTCCTTGCACTTCTCACTCTCTCATGCACACATTGTTATTGGTTTTTTAACTTTCCTGTCAACATCATCCTGTTGTGCACCGTTATAAAACTTCATATGGTTTTGTTGTTGTTGTTTTTTCGTTTTGTTTCTTTTTTTCCTTTGGCTTGGCCTACTCTACTCTTGTGGCAGTTTTTCTGTTGTTGTTATTATTATTGTTCGTTGTGTGTTTTGACCGGTCGGAAAGCCCATTCTTTGGTCGGCATGATACTGCAGCAGCAAACGAGTGTTGCTGTTTTATTTGTTGTCAAATGTTTGTTGCTGCTGTTGTTGTCAAGTTTCTCTCACGCTGGCGTTGCTCTTTTTCTTTAGTTTGTCACTGTTTATTTTTTGTTTGCTGGCATATGGCTGTGCCGGGTTTCAATTTATTTACCGTTATTTTTTAATGCAGGCAGCCAGGCTGGCCAAGAGGATAATGGGAGGTGAGTTGGGCGACACAAACACACACACATGCACGCGACATCAGCCGCACAAGGAAATACAGCTTTTTTTGTCAGGTTCTTCAAATGAAAATGAGCCGAACTAGGATTTTTCCAACACTTTTGCTCGTTTCTTGTTCCTATTATTTTCTACGGAAATTATTGATATTTCAATAATTTAAAATGCCGGATTTAAGACTGGATTTTATATAAACTTTCACAGGATATTGGTAATTTAAGAATAATACAGCACAACATCTGAGAATAGTTTCGTTTTCATTTGCACCACTTTTTTAATTTCCAGAGAACTTCTTCGAAACTTTTTTTCATTATTTCATTTGAAGTTTAATTTTTATGCTCACTTTTTAGTTTGCTTTGTTTATTTTTTATTTAATTAATAATTATATTTCTTCTATTCTTTTTAAAGAAATCACTATATTTTTTAATTTTTATTTTCCGTTGCAAAAAAATCCTTTTGCGACCACCAAAAACACATTTGTCCACTTTGCACTCGTTGTCGCGTTTAATGTCCACACACACACTCACGTCAATGGAAACTGCATTAAAAATTCATTTTGACATTTATTTCAATTTGTGTTACTCTCCTTCCTTCTTCTTCTTCTTTTTTTTTTGCATGTTTTGCATTGTTTCTTCTCATCTCATAACCCACATTATAACAGGCAAGGCAGTATATCTCTGCTTCTTCCTTGTTGTCTCCTATTTTCTGTTTTATTGGAACACTTGTACTAAATATCAGGCTGGCTTGCAACAGCAACAATTTTACATATTTAATAAAACAACAAGAACAACAACAAAAACCACTTCATCCCCTTTAATATGACACACCAACACACATTTAAATGAAAGCTAACTTAAAAAAGCTTCCCGACATATTGCACCATTGCAATTTTAAGAGCTGTGTCATTAAAAAGAGCGTATATGTGTGTGAGAGAGAGAGAGGGAGAAAAAAGCATGCAGGTGTAACACCGTAACACTTGCAAACGGCGTGTCAATGCAACAATAACAAGGAAATGCAGGACAAATGTAAACAGAGAGCCAGTTTTGCAAAGAGAGAGACAGAAAGAAAATAATTGCGTTCAATAAAATGAGAGTCCTTCACTGAGATAAAGAGAAGTGTGGAGATGCCATATTAATAATTTTGCTTGGTTTTATTGTATTTCCGTTAGAATTTTATTTCCGTTTCACACCGTCTTAATTGATTAATTTATGATAGGTTTACACCAGACCAATTTAATAAATGTTAATTGTTCAAAGCATACGAGAAGTTTTTGCACTCAGTAGGTATTTACATGGTTAAATAAAAATTGTATTGCCGACAAACAGCAGCGAATATTTTCCGAGAATGGCTTATTTTGTTTGTATAAAAAAATATATAAAAAATTTATATAGGAAATTTTAATTGCAGATCATACATAGGAGACATTGAGAAGGCTTTTCATCACAGCTTGGACAACCCTCGGGTGCCTTAAAAAGTCTACACGGTGAGATGAAAAAACTGCAACCAACTTCAAACTGCTGTCATTTCTAAGCCACTCGTCCGACAGCTGGTAAAATTATTCCAGTGACAGCACATTATGTTTGTACGCTTGTAAACAAAAGCATTTTGGTGAGAATTTTCCAGTAAAGAAGTTATTCGTGATGGAATTCAAGCGTGATAGTGTGATTTCTTTATATTTGGCTGGAAAACCACAACTGGCTATCGTTAGAGCACTCCAGCTTTTAAATGTGAATAAATTTTTTGTGTCTCGTACCATCGCTCATACCGTGATACTGATAGCGTAGCCGGTTGCGACGTCAAGGAAGTAGACGGAAGAAAACAGCAGGAATGATTCGAAAAGTAAATAAGCGACTTGATCGAAACCCACGTAGCAGTGGCCGAAAAATAACTCGTGAGCTGAACATATCGCAATATTCCATTCGGCAAATATTAAAAAATGAGCTCGGGGTAAAGCCATTGAAATTCCAAAAAGTGCAAAAACTTACACCGCAACAGAAAGAAAATAGACTCAAAAGAGCTAAAGAGTTGCTTCGCTTGGCCGAAAGTGCCGAATTTGGTTTTCTCCGATGAGAAAACTTTTGTTCTCCAGCAGTTTGTAAACAAGCAAAATGGTCGAGTTCACTTGCCAAAGAGGTCAGCTGAAAATGTGCACCTTCGGTTTGCCACTAGAACTCAAGCGTCTGTCATGGTGATGGTGTGGACCGCCATAACAGCCGATGGTCGCTCTCCGCTCGTATTAATCGACCATGGCATCAGAATAAATGCCGAATATTATCGCGAAAATATTCTGGAGGGTGTATTAAAGCCTTGCCGCAGACTTTGGACATTCCGACAGGACTCAGCACCATCGCACTCAGCACGCGCCACCCAAGAATGGTTAAAAAATGAGGTTCCCCGCTTCCCCAGCGCACAATGGCCACCAAAATCTACGGATACCAATCCCTTGGACTATTGTGTCTGAAGTATTTTGGAAAGTAAGGTTGGTACTAAAAAATACCAAAGTGTCGATCGCCTCATGAAAGCGCTTCGCCGGAAATGGGACAAAATACCGCAGAGCTACATTCGGGCAGCGTGTGACGGTTTCATTGGCCGTTTGAAGGCCATAATTCATGCCAAAGGTCATTAATTCGAACAAATCTAAACTTATTCTAAAATTTGATGCTTTTTTCGACATTTTTTTGCTTTCATTTAATAAAATTTAAAAAAAAAAATAAAAATAATTGCGTTTGACTTTGTTGCAGTTTTATTTTTTATTAAACGGGTGCAGTTTTTTTTTAAAAAACCAAATAATCAAAGTCTTACAGGTATGAACACTGAAAAAAGAACTCAACTTTTCTAGCAGGACCGCAATTTTATTTTTGTTTAATTTTGAGACTTTCTTCACCACTTGAACCACATTCTATTCTTTTCCAGTCGATCATAATTCCGTATTAGCAGCAAATACAACGAATACATAAGCTTCACTCACACAATTGACTTGACGAACAAAGGAAACACAATGCATCTACACGAATACTGGTCAAATTTACATATTACCGAAAATTTCCTTTAAACTTAACGATTTTCCGTTTTCGCGAATAGACTGGGTTAAAAACCTTTGCATTTTCGTAGCATTTTGCAACTTAATTCTAAGCTTTTTACATTAATTTCTAAAAAAATGCGGGACATCAAACCGAAATGCAATTGAAAACTGAATGTCATTGTCAAAAACTATGAGAGTCAAAATACGTGGGAGCGAAGAGAGAACATTATGGGGAGATGAGAAAAAAAAACACGGAATAGAGATCAAACAAAGGTAAATTAACTGGATGGAGCATTCTATTCCGTTTATATAAATGAAAGACAAAATTGAAGGCTTATGAATCAAGCCTCTTAAGGCATGGACAATAAAATAGGAACTAATTTTTACCTCGCAGGATGGCGCTTATATTTTTCAAAATTTTTGTTTAATATTTTACACTTTGTCGTCCAAATAAGCCACACACACTCTATAACTTTGTATTGGCAACAAATACAACAGCACACGCATAAACTTCATTCACACACAATTGACTTGACGAACAAAGGAAACGCAAGGAATCTTCATAAATACCGACAAAATTGACAAATTACCGACAATTTATTTAAAATATAACAATTTTCCGTTATAATGATTGACCGTGATAACATTTTTCGTAAAATTTTGCAATTTAACATCAAATTTTACGATTTTTATATTAATTGTTAAAAAGTGTGGGGAAAACGTTGCCATCAAACAAATGTAATAAAAAACTGAATGTCATTGCCAAAATCAATCAAGAGAGTCCTGATACTCCGGAGAACCGTTGGAGCGAAGAGAGATTTGTTGGAGAGTAGGAGAAAATAGAGCTGTGATTAGGAGATGATTTATTCATAAAACAAAGGTGAATAAAAAAAGTTGATGGAGATTAGAATTGAGTAAGCCAACATCTTTACTCTCTGAGAGTTTTTTATACTCTACACCACATAGTGGCAAGGGTATTATGTATTTGTTCATTTGTTTGGAACATGGAGAAGGAAGCGAGATAGACCCATAGTTACTTTTGAGGATATCCATAGAATCTCTTTCTGTGTTGATTTATCCATGTCAGTCCGTCTGTCCGTCCGTCTGTCCAT